GACAGACTCAAATTATATTGCCTCCTCCACCCCAGCCTTCCCTTTTCTTTTGCGTTTGCGAGCCAAGTTATAGTCCAACCCCTCCCCTTACCCTTCCCCTATCCATAAAGTCATCGAGGCCTTGAAGAAAGCTACGCTACCAGACGAACTCCACTTGGGTCAGGTTGACGTCCTGAGGTTGTGACGGCGCCCTCAACGCTGGTCCCGGTCAAGCACTAGCTCAGACATACATCACCGAATTTCTCCTGGTTATTAAGGGAGCGTCTCATAAGTCGGGAACGTTCGCGGTCCAATGGAACGTTCCGTAGGAACGCCAGGCGTTCCAATGGGAACGTGCTGCATTCCGAATGGAACGCGGGTGCGTTCCACGCAATGAATGGAACGCACCGATCTGCGGTCCAGCTGGAACGGGGAGGGAACACCGTGTTCCCGGCGGAACGCTCCGCGGATGGGTATTCGCGCTTGGGTATACGTACGTGAGTACGTCCGTGCAGCAGGACCCGGAGTCAGAGTTTATGCTCAAACGCAGATTTTTGTCTGACAAAAATTATATCGTCAATAGTATGCTCCGCTTTTATCCTTTTTTTTATTTCGTAAAAGCATAGCATAGTACCAAGCCAAAACATTCAGGCCCTCAAGTACATTTTATCAGCTGGGCTGTTTTTGAGATGAAGACTATAATTCTTGTTTGAAAATGATTTGTTTTTAATTCAAAATCCCTCACTCCTTCTACGCTATTTTTGTCGGGTAATTTCAGTAAACCTATCACGTAGTGTTCAAGACAATTTTTGTCCTTGCATGCATTCTACAAACATGCGCCCTGTATCAATTGTAAACGAGAAAACACAATCACCGTAGCCATGTAAAAGTTCAGGGCGAAATTTCACCGATGAACTTCACATCTGCCGTAACAATAGCCACTGCGTTTCGTAATCGATTATAATATTTAACAGAAATTCACTTAACATATTTCGAAATCCCCTCACCCCTCCTCTATCTACGACTTTTTGAGGAGATTCCCTTCACTTAGTACGCATTATCAAAGTATTATTTAAAGAAATATTGTTCTTGTGCAACATACTTTGACGTGAATACATACTCACCACAGCGTAGCGATTGCATGTGATGGTAGGTTCGGGGCTACCGACATTTCACCACAGAAACGATATTTACATCATTAGATTTACCAAGATTCCATCCGCATTAACGCTCACTCGTACCTTGTGTCGAACTTTTTACCCAAACCATCACAGAAATTTCACAATCACGTCCAAATATTACATATAAATCCTCAAAAACAGGCAAAACCTACCGTTCAGTGACGCACGGTTTGCCGGAGATCGCGACGCCATTTTTCCTGACGCAAAATGGGCTAATATTCGAAACTGGGCCATGGTATACGCGATTTGCTGGGAACGTTCCGCTGGAACGCGCAATAGAACGCGTGTGCCCGACCGTTCCGCTGGACCGTTCTCGCAAAGGGATTTCGCCGTTCCAACGGAACGGTCCCGTGTTCCCAGTGGAACGCCGGGGCGTTCCAGTTTGGGAACACGCCGTTCCAATGAGAACGTTCCGAGCGTTCCAACTTATGAGACGCTCCCTAATCCCGGCGGGTTTTTAGGGATTCGTTGTACCCCTGGGTATATCGAGCCCCGGATTCCCGTTACAATATGAAAACATTGTTGTAATTTGTTTCGCTACGGCAGCAGTTTCTGTTGAGTTTACGTCGTTATAGCTGTTATAGCTGTTATAGCTGTTAAGCTAAAATATGGCCCATGAACATGAACACAAACAAGTCTGGAAATATCGCCGGAAAAAGTCACAAAATTGGAGCATTTTAACTGTTTATTTCGTTATAAAGGTATGGGGAAAACAGTGTGAGGAGCCGGTCTTCACTGCGTGATAATGACCGGGTGTGGGGGTGACCGCTGTTAATGGACCGAGACGAAGTCGAGGTCCATTATTAATTGACGCACGAACACAACACGTGTTCATAGCATACGTGTTCATGGTTCCTCGCCACTGTATGTAGGTGCTTTCTATCGTCCCCCTACACCGGATGTGGAGTACATAAAAAATCTGGATTCTGCCCTCAGAAAAATCCCTCGTAATGCATCAATTTGGTTACTGGGGGATTTTAATCTCCCTGATGTGAACTGGGATCAGTATAAATTCAACCCTGGAGGGTCTTACGCTGGACAGAGTAAAACCATGATTGACATTGCCCTTGACAACAACTTGAGTCAACAAGTAAAACAACCTTCCAGACTTCATAACATATTGGACTTGTGCTTCACTAACTGCCCTTCCTTTGTAGAGAGTACCAATGTCATCCCAGGTGTAAGCGACCATGAAGCGGTTATGGTTAACATACTAGTTAAACCGAAATTAGTTCGCCCAGCAAGAAGGAAGATACTGCTGTATGCCAAGGCCAATTATGCTGCTTTTGCCGACTGTATTAAGGATTTCGACAAAAAAATTACACCCGACTACGTGGCTCAGAAGGATGTTAATCAACAGCAAATTTATTCCATCCAAAATGACATCAACCAAGTGGAAACTGTTAAAAAAAACATCGTAGAACGACTGACCGCAAATTCGGAAAGCCAAGAAAGAATACATCCATGATGTCATCGGCTGTAGTCTCCAAAGCAACAACACAAAACCATTCTGGAATTTCATCAAAGCCCAAAGGCAGCAGATGTTTGGAATCTCCACATTGACTGATTCATCTGGTGCCACTGTGATCTCTCCGATTGACAAGGCTAATGTGCTGAATGAACAGTTTAGTTCAGTTTTCACAAACGAAAACCTGGACAGTTTCCCTACATTACCAGACTTGGACATACCCGACATGCCAGAAATTCAAACACATTCAATTGGGGTAGAGAAATTACTGAAAGATCTGAAACCAAGCAAAGCACCAGGACCTGATGCCATACCTCCTAGAATCTTGAAAGAGTGCGCCTCTGCTTTTGCACCAGTTTATTCTAAGATCTTCCAAAAATCATTGGATACTGGATGTTTACCTAAAGCTTAGCTTGAAGCAAACGTCACGCCACTTTACAAGAAAGGTGATAGCAAAAATCCTGGTAATTACAGACCTGTGTCGTTGACGTCTATTCCTGACGGATGCCCAACATGGTTTTCGCAGAGGTCCCTCTTGTGACACCCAGTTAGCTGCTGTGACCCACGACATGGCTGGAATTCTTAACAATAAGAGTCAAGCTGACTTAATTGTAATGGATTTTAAAGAAAGCATTTGACTCGGTGCCTCACCAACGTCTTTTGAGGAAACTCCACAACATCGGCATCAGGAACAATGCTCTGGAATGGATTGACTCATTTCTCACTCAACGTTACCAGCAAGTTGTTTTTGAGGGCACTTCTTCAAACAAGTCGAAGGTCATTTCTGGGGTTCCACAGGGGACAGTGCTGGGTCCTCTCCTGTTTTTAGTATACATTAACGATCTGCCACAGAACATCAAATCGCATGTGAGACTCTTTGCAGATGACTGTGTCATGTACCGGGAAATAAAAACTGCAGCAGACCCTTGCATTTTCCAACAGGACATCAACACACTTGAAAAATGGGGAAAAGATTGGCACATGTCATTCAAGGCCTCCAAGTGTCACACCATGAAGATCACCCACAAGAAGAACTCAGTCGACTCCAGTTATCACATGGGTAATACCAAACTACTAGACGTTAAACACCATCCCTACCTGGGGGTTGAATTTAGTAATGATCTCAAGTGGTCCACTCACATTGATCAGATCATCTCTAAAGCCAATCGTATGCTCGGGCTACTCAAGAGAAACATCCACCACTGCAACAGTAATACCAAGTCCATTGCGTATCAGACACTAGTCAGACCAAGGCTAGAATATTGTTCCGCCTTTTGGGATCCTCATCATGCGTCGGATAAAAAGAATTAGAAAGCATTCAACACAGAGCAGCTAGATTTGTTATGCAAGACTACAGCAGGGAGTCAAGCATCTCAGCAATGTTTAATAAACTCAAATGGGACACTCTTCAAGATCGACGGACCAAAGTTCGATTAGTCACACTCTACAAAGAAACCCATTGGCTTACACCGAGTAATATGGAAGATTATCTGAACATCGTCAACTCATCAAGGGGGGTTTCTACTAGACAGACCGGACCTTTCTCATATAGAGTCATCACCACAAATAAGGACTACTTTCGTTACTCAATGTACCCAAAGACCATCCTAGAATGGAATCAACTTCACCCTAACATCCGCTCTTCACCTGACATTAAGACTTTCAAACTGGCACTGGACAACATCAACATTCAAGACCTGGCTTCCAAAACCCAATCAAGAATTTAGTTGCTGCACACCTGACCCTGACCAACGTACGTCGACAACCTTCTAGGTGTTTGTACGTTTATGGAACAGAAACAGAAACAACACAGTGAACGCATTCGGTGGAGTTTAGATATTGACTGAGCTTACATGTTGGGATTCGCAGAATATGTAAATGAGCCTTCTATATGAAAGCCAGGAACTAATTCATGTACCTAATATCGGTGAGAACATTTAAAATGTTTGTCAGAGGGAACAATATTTGATAGATGAGCTCTTTACGAAATTGGCCTGTGGCATGCATGGGATGGAGTCACGCTGATGAGGCTTGTAGACGTCTTGTGTCTGGAGTCGATTTTGGGCGTAGGGAGGCCGCTTATGGTAAGTACGTCTGGATTCAAACCAAATGCCAATTAACTACGTGGATCTGGTGAGCACAGAGATCTGCTATACGCAGCAATGACTTGCTACACGAAACGTTATACCAGCCAAAAGAGTAATTCAGTGAATATTTTCGCAATAATGACCGTGTTCTTAGAAAAACAGATTTTCAGAAAATGTCATGAAATGAATACAGTATCATAATTATTATGACTTGTTCTCATGTAATTGTGCTTGGAAGCCACATGATATTGGATCCAGAAATCATCAGCCAATGAGAAAATGAAACGTCATTGATCAGTCAACACAAAGAAACATTTCATTGGCAATGACGTCACTGCCTTCGTCACTGATCATTCAGGTGAACATCTTGTCGTGTGGCCTCCACGCTGTGCTTCATGCCGTACGTAAAGTACACGATGAGTCCTGTCAGGAGAAAACAGACAAGTCGATTCAGAAAAGAAATGAAGTGTGAATTTAACCATGTATTAAGGACATTTCAACTGGTGGGGATTTGTACGATATCTTATGTTAATACCTAAATAATCATTTGTGAGTGCGTCACTAATTTAAGTTCTTTCACTGCAAGAACCAAAACAAAATATATAGGGTGACAACCTTGAGCAGAATCCATCTTGATGAAATAGTACACGTCGATAGCGGACATATTGGATTCACAGAATCATTTAACATAATTATGTTGGTCTTCTTTGACTTACTGAACACGTCGCCATTGTAATCAAGAATACGTCGCTAAACGTTTCGTCAGAAACAGTTACTAAAACTAATTTCATGACGATTGTGGGTACAGGTTGGTTTGTTTTGGGGTGGGCGGTCGTCTATAAAAAAATTTGGGGTGGGCGGTCGTCTATAAAAGGTTCTTTGTTTCTGACGGAAATGTAATGATCTGTTAATGTTCTGACATGTTATGATCTTTTGTGAAGCTTTTCGCCTTGGATTAATTTAACATAGCTCAAAATACATTCGAACAAGGAGCAATAGCATCTCAGCGGGAAAAAAAGCTGCACATGCTTTGAGTCTTGTGCGAATTTTTCCCTTCCCGCTTACATCCTGCATGGGCAGCCTATAATGTGATATTATTTACCTAAACACAACCAAACGACGACTCCTACATAGACCAAGGAATTAAAGTGTAGCAACAGAATGACAGCAGCAAGCAAAGCAATCAGCGGTAGCAAGGGCATCAGTGGTACCTGTATCAACAAAAAAAGTCCAGAATATTTGGGTTATTTTTATTTCAAAACTCAAAGTACTGCGCATTCGCCAATTCGAAATTAATAGTACGTTTAACCATTTAGTTTGTTATGACCAACAAAATCACAGGAATTAGAAACTTGGAAATGCTGAAAATGTTGCGCTAATAGAATAAATAACTGATTTAGAGTGCGACCGGTGCTCAGGGTGTTCAGGGGGCGCAGGTTCAGGTCCCGCTTACGACAATTTTTTTATTGAACAACATAGACGTAAAATGATTATATCTGTCTTTGACTTTATCAAAATATCGCAAACGGCCCATCAGGGAGACACAATTTGCTTTAAAAAAGTTGTACATAAGGAAGACAAGATATATTAGGGAGACATGTTAATGCTTTCCTGTCAGATGGATGCACCCCTGTATTAAAATTCCAACAGACACCATTGCTAAACGCCCATACTTCAAAATTGTTTTACAAATACTAAGAACTCTCACATGTATTTAAGTTGCACAGAAAAATAATGATCAACATGTCATCTTACATTTTCTTTTCATTTTTTGGTGGGTTGACCATTGCCTTTTCGAGAAATTAGCGCCACTTTCGAGCACAATTGCATCCAAAATGCTCAGAATTGAAAGCCCTAAGTCCGGGCTTGAGGTTCATTGCCATCTCTTCAATTCCAAAATTTTATGGCTCTCAAAACTCTCTAAAATAGAATATTTTGAGGGTATCACTTTTTATTCATGAGCTTGGTGGAGGGGTTGAGGCCTATTAACAGGTGTGCATCCAAATGTTCGGTTGATGGATAGGCCGGTTATTTAATATGAGAAAAGGCTTGCAGATATGGATTTTTCCCATGGCTTCTCTGTAAAACAACATGGTAAAATAAAGAATCGCTTCTGTTCGTGTATGTTTCAATATGCCGAAGGTAAATGGCTTTTTGTTACTAAATTATTTAATTTTTTTGAAATCTTACTTTGAATGGGAGGTCATCGGTGTCTTGCGGTAGAAGTAACAGTGGACAGCACGAGACGAGAGTTAAAGCGCTGCTTACGACTATCCCGAGTATTAGACCTGGGTCATGGACTCGCAACAAGTCGTCCATGTTGAAGGTCAACAAGGCTACGAGAAGGAACTCAAAGATGAGGTGAAAGCAGAGTGAAAGAATCACCGATCTGGTTGTATGTTCTCTGATCCATCGAAGAATGATGGCACAGCCCTTGTGAATCCAAGATGGCCGCTTTGGTAGCTCGTTTGTAGCGTTGGTTTCAGCAGTGTCAGTTTCTGGCTTAGGTTTAAGCAATCCATTCAAATCTGTTGTAGTATTCTTGCGTCCATGAGCCTCGTTGACACCCTCCTTGAAATCAGCCTTGTCTATGCCGCCCAATTCTACGTACCCATCACTCCGGTTTGGGGGTCTGTAACGCAAGATAGTCACCGCAAATAGTACAATGACGGCCTCAAGTGTATATAGCATGGAGTCGGTCTGTATTAAAATCTTGATGTCACTTAATACGGCAAAAACAGCAGAAATACATGTGCCAAGAAGGTTAGCTAGCAAGGGAGTCTTAGTTCTCTCGTTGGTCCTGGAGAGCACAGAAGGAAGAAGTCCATCTCTTGACATGGGATATATGAAACGAGTCATAGCGTAGGATATGTTTAGAGCACCTCCCGTTATGCTGCATAACGCACCTACTGCTACGATGTACTTCATCCAACGTAGACCATCAAGATCATTAAACACTGCCTCAAACGGGGTTTTAAGATCGATGTTGCTGTATTCTGTTAATACAGTGACTGAGAGGACTCCAGTCATGTAGACTAAGATACTGATTCCAAGAGCGGACACAAGTCCTATCAAGAGATCCTTGGATTGGTCTTTTGCTTCCTCAGCTGCTAGGGCGATAGATTCGATCCCAGCATAACCTGCGTAAGCAATGATTGCACTTCCTACAATCTCATCAAATCCAACTCCCCTTGGTGCAAACCCATGCTCTGTCACGAGGGAGAAATCTGCATGAATCATGGCCACAATGAAAACCAACATCAGAGTCAGTAAAGTGGTTATCATGAATAAATTGTTAGCTTTGGAGAATACATTGGTACCTAAAGAAATAATACCACCAGACACAAGGATCAGCAATCCAGCGATAAAATCGGGATGGGTACCAAGAACAGGTGCATTCCATTCCTGACCTCCAAGGACAAACTGGACGGTAGCATTTCCAATGGAGCCGCCTAAAGCATCGTCTAAATAGGCGCTCCATACCTGTCCTATGAATGCAAGCGCAACGATTCGTCCTGCCACACTACTCCACCCAGTTAAGAACGCATTCATCTCTCCAAGTGTCGCATAGGCGTACAGGTAAGACGCCCCCGTTCCAGGTAGCTGTAAGGCACACTCTATGTAACACAGGCCAGACAGTGAAGCCAACATACCCGAGAGGAAGAAAACCAATAGAGCAGCCGGACCCGCCACTACTCCAGAAACTTGTCCCGGTAAAAGAAAACTACCAGATCCTATCATACTTCCGACACCAAGTAAAGTCAGGTCGACTACACCAAGGCATCGATGTAGAGGTGTTGGGATTGCGTCCCTCTGCACAGGTTTTCTTCGAGTTGAGGAGCTGAACATTTCTCTGAAGCACTGGAAAAGACCCATAGTTGATGGACAGTATACCACGTCGGTTTCGAGCAATTAACCTGTTGTCAAAAAATAACAGTGAACTTGAACATTATCGACATTTATAAATAACAACAAGACGATAAGCCTATAGCTGCTCCCACACACAATTCTATTCAGTTGAATCAGAAAAGAAGTATAACAATTCCAGTCCTGAGCCAAGATTACCTTTGATGATGAACCCTTTGTTGTTTTTTTGGAACCCGATACGGTATTTTGCTCCTATATCGCTCACGGTTTTTGACTAACTCTTGTCAGTTCTATTTTGCTCGGTACGCGTAGTGACCGTCTTTTTCATACATACATACATACATACATACATAGGCCTATAGGCATTTTTATAGCGCCCCACAAAGATCGGAGCGCTTTACAAAAGCTGACAAAATAATTAAAGATACAAACAAAAAATGCATTGATACAGATACAAAAAAAACTATACCAGCAAAATAACATATGGCATGATTAAACAAATAAATGGGTTTTTAGTCTATTTTTGAAGAGCTGAAGTGTGTTAGCTTCCCGGGTGTTACGGGGAGGGGAATTCCACAGCCGGGGAGCAGCGGCTTGAAAGGCACGATCTGCAGTAGCCTACGCGACTTAGTTTGGGGGTTATGGAGACGTGTTTTGTCAAATGATGAGCGGGTGGCATAGACAGATGTGTTGAAAGAGATGAGTTCTTGGAGATATGAAGGTGCCATAGAGTTGATACATTTGTATACAGTGACAATAAGTTTGAAATTTATGCGTGCTCGAATTGGTAGCCAATGAAGGCGACGTAACAACAGTGCGCTCGGATGGTCACAAGCAACAAGACAAATTAGTCTGGCAGCCCTGTTTTGTAGCCTTTGCAGACGAGTTAAGTCACCTTCATTGGCACCGTAAAGCAACGCATTTCCATAGTCAATCCGGGAGAAGATTAGTGACTGAACAGCCATTTTACATGTCTCTTGGTTCATGAAACGACGAATGCGTGATAAGTTCCGGAGATGAAAAGTGACACATTTAACGATGGAAGAAACTTGGTCACTCATGCTCAACGGAGGATCGATGACAACGCCCAAGTTACGCAACGATTTTGACGGTTTAATCGTAACATCGCCAAGAGTAACGTTGGAAAGGCGGGGGGCAAACCTAGCAGAAGCTGCAACGAAAAACTCTGTTTTTGACTCGTTTAGTTGCAGCTTGTTCATTATAATTACGTTCCTTGCTTGCTTGGTTAGTTTATGTGGTTTATTCCCCAATGACTTTTAGGGTTGCGTCAATCACATTGTCCCCAGTACTTTCTTGAATGTGCTTTGAAGCCATGAATTTCTTTTCATTCTCTGGAGCTAGTACTTTTGTGGATTCTTTGGCATCGATCTTTTGGCCGAGTTCTTGAATGGCATTGATAGTTTTTGTTGTGTTAATTTCAACTGCTTTCATGAACATTGGCATTTGGTTTGCTGGCATATTGATTGCTTTAGCGGTTTCATTTGTATCTGTGCTGCTTTGGCCCTTTTCGCCATTTTGGTCAGGCAGGTTATCAGCGTATTTCAGGACTATTAGTTGTTTGTCAGCTAGTTCGTTTAGTTTGGATTGCAAGGTGGGGGTCTCATGAAAGTCGTCTATGGTTATGAATCCTTCTTCTTCCCTTAATGATATTATGGTTTGTGCGAATTTGATCCCAATCCCTGGCAAGGTAGTGAATTCTTTAACATTGGCCTTATTGATGTTTATACTCATGATGAATCATAGGTTACCCAGCTAAAAGTATGTGCTATAAACGTATTAAATCTACGTTACAATAAGTAATAAAACTGCTCAGCAATGTCCGTCTATGGACAGTCACTCGCTTTTACTGTTAACGCCTTCTGCTGGGAGTGACGCACAGCAGTTTGACCAGATTAACAGTAAATGAACGTTCGGAATTTTTGCCCGGTAAATGTCCCGGTAATGCGGAAAAACGCACCACGCAAAGCAGCAGTGAGCAGTTTTAGGTATTTTTATACAACAATAAGGTACCGTACAACAAAATAATGAGTATGCCCAACAGATATCAACTACAATTGGTACTTCCAACAGATGCAGAAATTACCAACCCCCCTTTTTTTGTCTTTTTTTGGTCTCGTGTTCTGAAACACACGCGACACAGAAAGAAAGCCTTAAATGGCTAACTTTAACACTAGAATATTATTAATTTATCTTCGTCGCCAATGTTGTATTCGCCACAAGCGACGCTTACCTAGCTGGTGGCATGTTGAGTCCAGTACACAGGACAGAGTCTTCTACACAGGACAAAATGACGTCGTCACTCAAGTGTGCTATGTACCAGACTGCCCTTGTGTCTGTGTGGGTGAACCGCACAGCCACGGACACGCCTGAGTGGTTTATTGCGTACTACAATATATAAAGAGTTCTGATACGAAGGAGGAATATGAAAACCAAGCCCTAAAACCCTTACAATGCGCTCTGAAAATGGGCACATAATGCGTAGTTTGCATAATGGTACCCCCCCCCCAAAAAAAAGTTGATTTCACGGAGGCCAAGTGTCAGTTGCAAAAAAACGTGTCGACATTTCAGCACGGATGAAGCAAGTAGCCTTTTTGGTGATTCCCCCCCCCCCCCCCCCCAGTTTGAAAACCGTTCCGCCGCCGATGCATATAGCCGTTGTTTACTACCATACGGGTGCACGCCTGTAAATAGACCAAAAATCCGTCCGCCGAGCTCATGAATAAAAGTTATACCCTCAAAATATTCTATATTAGAGAGTTCTGAGAACCATGGAATTGGGGAATTGAAGACATGTGGCACTGAACCTCTGGCCTGGACTTGGAGCTTCCAATTCTGAGCATTTGGATGCAATCTGGCCCGAAAGTGGCGCTATTTAGCCATGTTGTGGAGGGATTCTTTTTCAAAATGGCTACTTTTCCAGTTCGGGAAACATCATTCGTTTTAGGGGTGTTCTTATTTGGGTGAGAATATCTCAAAAAGTCAATGGTCAACCCACCCAAAATTGAAAAGAAAATGAAAGATGACATGTTGATCATCATTTTTCTGTGCAGCTTGAATACCTGTGAGAGTTCTGAGTATTTTTAAATGAATTTTGAAGTATGGACATTTAGCACTAGTGTCTATGGGCATTTATTTGCAGGCGCGCACCCTATAGATCCAGAGTGGTGGCGGCCATGTTGTTATGACGGGGGATTTCAACGTGTGCTTTTTATTGCTGTAAGTACAAAATAAGCTTAAATTGAGTTAAAATAAATATGAAAACAAACATTTTACACTCTGTATCTTTGATTTTTCATGTTTTTATTCAAAACACACTGTGGAAGTTAGCATTTACATGTAAGTGAACCGTTAAAAAAATGTAAACAATGAGTCATTCACCCCAGTCTGTGCATGTTCTTATTTTGTTTCCATTTCGGGGTATTTTAATTGGTTATTATTGAAATCGAACACCGAGAAGGCACAGTTCTTTCTTTATTCAGACAAAAATAAGTGAATAATATTGTTTGTACTTGTTTGAGCTTGTACAAATCAAATTTTGACTTGTAATAAAATGGATGGTGAAGGGTGGACATTCACATCCAAGGTAAAAAACTTTTAGCCAATGGATTTCTGGGCTCCTGAAAAACACTGAGACAAAATGGCCGACATGGAGTCGTGGTGCGCCAGAATTAAATGGGCGATTGCAAAAAAGAGCAGATTTCAGCCTTCAAAAGGATGCCGACTTTGGCGGGGATGCATAAAAAAATCCTATGGCATCATTTCACTGAAAATGCCAGGCTCGAACAAACGCACTCTGAAGTCTGTGCACAGGGCGGCTTACATGGCACACACCGGAAATGTAAATTTGCCACGGGAGTGGGATGTAAGTCACCTGTGCCAGAATTCATTGTGCGTTTGTTTCGAGCATTTGTCCCTTGAACCTAGGGCTGTAAATAATAGCAGAAAAGTCTGCAAACGACTCAAGCAGTGCCAAGGGCATGATGGGTACCGGGAGTGCCTGCTTTAAGGTATCGTAATTAACAATAAATTTGTCAGTTACATTCCAAAAACATAATTTAAAAACGTTTGCAGTAATTGTGTTCAGATTGGATGATGTGGCAGACATTTTTCAAACCATCGTCTGGCTTAGGATCCAGTTGGCCACGTTTATACAGTGGCCGTGTGGCATAATACAGCTGGAATCTTTGAGAACGCAATTGTGCTCTGCGTGTTTTGTACTCCTGACCTTTAGCACGTTTAACATACTGTTTTTGTTTCTTATCCATTTCAGCAAGGGCTTTTGCAGCTGGGGAGCCTGCAGTTACTGGGCAACCAGCAGCTGCGCACTTTTTGACTATTGAATTGGCGTGTCTGTTATTCACCAAGTGAACTGCGCTATGGTCTCGACAAGAACCATTTCTTGAGAAGGTTAGTGTGGCCTTAGGGTTGGTTACTGCAAAGGCATGGTTCATTGATTCTGCTTTTTGAG